ATATAATCACATAACGAAATAATTGGAAAAGCGATAAATATCTTAAGAAACTTTAAAAAAGATAATTATCTAATCTAATTAATATTTAACCGCTTTGTTCTAGCAGTGTTTTATATATAGAAAATATTATATGTAACTCGAATTACGGAGCATTTAGTTATCCGCGACATCGGTCGCTAATGGGCTTCTATAATCGATGTGCAACTTTGCCAACTTACTTCTGAGAGGTACATGGCCGTTCCTTAAGGGCGAGGACACCATCCTCTCGTTTCTCCTCTCGTTTCTCTCATCCTCCCGCTTTTCTCTTGCCTCGAGCTGAGCGATTCGCCTTAGTGCGTCCGCCAGAGTGGCGCGAAGACAAACTATCTCGTCCCTCTGTGCCAAGGATTGCCTTTCGAGGTCCGCCACTCTGCCCAAAAGGGATCCAGTCTCGCACTCCAGCATCTCATCTGAGAACGTAAGAGAGAATTCTGTTTAGACACGGTTATTCGACTCTAAAAATTTTGTTCCTCGAAATTCATTTCTATCCATCTTGCTTTCGTAACAAAAATTCCTCAAAATTTGCTATTAATAACAAAATAAACAAATACTTTTCTGTTTTAAAACAAACATTTAATAAAAATAAAATTTGTATTAAATATATATATAGATAAATTTTCATTAAATTTTAGAAAGTAAAGTAAATAAAAGTAAATTTAATAATCGAAAGATAATACAAAATATAAACAAGATTTGTTCATGTTAAAAATGAAATTAATATATTTAAATAAATAAAAGAATTGTTGTCATAACTTAATTTATAATAATAATGCTTGCTTCTTATTATGTTCTTTTTATATGTTTATTTGTCTGTATTATCAATATGAGAAATATTAAAAATTTATATATAATAGTAGTGATGTAAATATGACATATATGTATATATATGTTCCTTGTACATATGAGGCTAATATTTTCGTAAAGCCAGTATTATTAAACGTGCTTCAATATCATTCTTATCAGTTGCACAATAAATATACTAACCAAACCTTAACTGTAACTGTAACTTGAACCTTGTAACTGTATGATAATATTCTCATTTTATAATATATATATATATATAGTATATATAGATCTAAATGTTATGACGTTGCAATTTAAAGGGCAGCACGCGATGTTTGACTATTTAGCGTATTAAAAAAATGTCCGCTTAACTTCTTCATACAAAACTAACGCAAACTGGGTCACGATTTTCTACGCGCTGTCAAGATAAAAATTGAATTCTTTCCCCGGCGTCGACGTCGGGCGAACCACGTGGTACCGACTCATGAATTGTGTATGCGTGTCGAGCGTTTAATTTTGCATGCCTATCGGCCGAATCTTTCATACCTCATATCCGCAAACAATGCGAGTAACAAGAAGGAACGCTGTCGTACGATTTACTACCGCATCGTGACGTCTGGGGATTTACAATTCATGGAATGCATTAAACAAAGATCGACATTCATAAGCCGTACTTCGATAAATCGTTATTTGTATTGTTGCACTATCTAACTGCAATTTATCATTGTTATATTAAATGCAAATCGATCTGTCGAAACATTCTACGAACTGAGAACTGTTTCTGTAAAAAAGAAATTGCTCTAGCAAATATGAAGCTTTTTACAACATTTAGCTAAATTTATTTCTAGCTCAAATTTTTATTAAAATATTCTTTAAATAATTTTTGTTCATATCGTGTTAATAATACACCATGTACCATTTGAAAAATTACGATAGATGTATTACTTTTCGCTGAGTTATCAATATACTCATTTTAGATTAGATTTTCGTTATGATAAAAATTTATAAATTTCGCTGAGTTATCAATATATTCATTTTAGATTAGATTTTCGTTATGATAAAAATTTACGAAGATTGTATGCGATTTTCCGCGATTCCAAGAAGAGACTTCTAAAAAAAAATCCGGCAAATTATTTTTGTACTCACGCCACGCTTGTTCCGCTTCGTCGATGGTATCCATCGTGTCCGGCGTGGACATTGCGATTAACTCTTGCGATGACCCCGGAGTGTTAATACGTTATTCAATTGAACTGATTAACGAGCACAAACAGAGCCAACGCACTCTTCACCAGCATATCTTACGCCGCAGTCGCAACAATTCTTTCTCGAAAACGACGCGAATAGAGTTCGCTTAGAACACTTTCCTAATCTCTTTCTCGTGTAACAAGTCAGCTGGTTCGGCCGCGACTAAAGTGACTAACCGCATTCGCACATCTGCCAGTAAATAAGGGTCAATAAGAATTGTGAAAAGAGCTGAAGTCACGCGCAATTTGAGGGACACAAGGACAAGAGAAACTCTTTTGCCCGATGGGAAGAATATCTTTCGCGGCTAAACGCACGAGGCACACGTTAATTGTGATGAAGTTCGGTTACGGAAATTCTACGACGTTAATAATCACTTCCAAACAAAGGTGAAACGTCCTGTCTTCGTGGAAGTAATTATCGCATAATTTTACCTCGTTATTTTCTTTTGAGTTATCCATAATTTAATAAAATATAGAAACTATAAATTATATATTTAAATATAAGATCCTCTATCATTTTCAGTCGTAAGGAAAATCATCAAAAAAAATTTTCAAAGATTATAAATAGTGAATTTATTTTTATAAAATTGTTCTGAATCTGATTTGAAGGAAATTGGTGCAAAAAAATTATTTATGATAGGAATTTCACACAGTATATACGACACTAAGTATATAAAACGATTAAAAACAACTTTACACATTAATAACACACATCGTACGGTAATTTGAGTGCCAATTAATATCCCTCAATTAACACATGGAAGTATCATCGAACGAGCACAATTCTCTCATCAGCGAAAAAAGAAAGAATTTATAAGAATTGTAAAACGAAACGAATGTCGAGCGGAACGTAATTTCCTACCGCCGATATTGTCGAAACTGGAACATGATCGCAAACGACGAGAATTCGAACATGCCAGACGTGTCACGTGGACTTGGCATGCAAACATATACAGTGACGTTCAAACTCCGCATTGGTCATTAACGGTTCATATGTTAAGTCATATTTTAAAAGTAAAATAAAAATTGACATTCGTGATCTTATCTGAATGCTTCTCTGACATCTATAAATATACATTCGCAAGCACGTGAATATACATTGCCGCATAACATTGTTGCGTTTTTTCTTGGATTTTACGGATTTTTTTCTTGAACCGATCGATCTTGTATTTAAATGTATAATACGTTTTTCATTTTAATGACTTAGAATTTGCAATAAATGCAAAATAATTGCAATTTGCAATAAATATAGAAAATAGAATCATGACTAATACTTTATCGTGAGAGATATGATTGTGGGAAATATAATACATGACTTTTGCACTCGGCATACTGACAATGAAGGAACGTTTGAAGGCGAATCGTGCGTAACGATTCCTGAAGCGCGTTTCACGAAACGCGTGATATTTGCGAGAATATCGTGGGAGTTACATAAGCGCGCGTAACGTAACTTCTACGTGCGTTTCGTAGAGAGCCTGAGGAAAGGAAACATGGAATTTCTCCGCTTCCCTTCCTCCGCGTCAGTGCTTTCCCCACTAGAAGATGCGATAACCATTCGACGAGATGAACGATAATCGACCGTAGGCTCTTTACCCTCGCACTTACACGACCGCCTCTTTGTGTCTCGTACCTCCAACGCTTTTCAGAAAAAAAAGCATGTGATCGATAGAGTATTAACACGGAAGCGATTCTTTTTTCTCATGACAAGAAGGTATAGAATGTCGATGGAAATTTCTGTTAGGATATATTCTCGATATGAAGCACGAAAATTTGATTGCTTATAGCACGGAGTCTTCTTTTTTTTTTTATTATTAAGATAAAATTTTATCGCGGAAAATTATTTTACGCATGTGCTTTATGCATTTTATTGAACTCGTGCATGGGTTATGATGTTTCTACTTAATTTGTTCCAAGTGTAAATATTAACCATAACATATTTTTGTGGGAGGTGATAGCCGCGTATGATGATAAAATTTCACCACGTCTGTGCCTGTGTCTAAACGCTGCTTATCGATAATTTTTTGAATGATAATCACAGGTTTGCATAAAAATATAATACTTAAAAATACCTCACAAAATGTAGAACGCGATTTTATACACGAAACATAAAGACCAGCTTTTAATCAGCTAAACGAGTGCAAGACTAGCTTGATGCAATTGATATTCAGCAATCTCTAGAGGCAACGAAACGTGCCGTCAACACCAAAGCCACTTCCGTAACGAGCGACACAACGGAAATCAACCCTAATCGCCGCGGAAACCTTTCACTTCCCACACGCGTTGAAAACGAGCGTAAAAGAGGGTAAGACGAGTGTGACTAGTCCAGTCGAGCGAGATATATCTCCACGCACGATCAGTAAATAAAAGCGATTCGATCAGATCGAGCAGGATTCATCGAATTTTCCGACGGCGGGAATTTCCGCGACACATCTCGAGGCTGACGGAAGCGCTGCGTCGCACGACGCTTCCGTCCCGGAAGAATGAAAACCGGAATTCATCCCGTGGGATCCGCACGAACGGCGCTGCACTCGATATTCAACGATATTGTCTAACCCCTCGTGAGGGATAACCCCGAGTTCGACTCCATCGTGCCGCTGCTCGTATAACACGTGTGTTTTCCGTGCGGCCGCCCCAACGTTACTGTCAGACCGACTACAGCTGCTTAGGCCGCGATCAATACGGTCTAGATAGTCGAGATGATTCAGATGACGGCGGCTACGCCGTGCCATTGACTGTGGATAAAATGTACGTAGCATCGAAAATTGGTGATAAGCGGTAAGTTGGAGTCCCTCGGATTGAAAAAAATTAATTGTCATTTAATGAAAAAAAATTTGTGTGTCAATTAGCGATACTACGTGTCAGATTTTCGAGACTCTTATCTTTTCTGTACATATTTATCTTTTCATTATTAAAAGAGTTATCTGCATTTGGCATGACTGTAAACAGAAATTTTTAAATAATTTTTAGACACACACAATTTTCAATTTAGTCATTTTTAAAGGATAAATTTTAAAATCTCGATTTTTATCTTTCTTTTTAAAGAAAAAAAACTTTAAGTTATTTTATTTTCGTATAATTATTTTTGATATATCTTAGAAGAGACATTATTTTGTCAATTGTGAAGTTCACTATATTTATATATTTTATATTAATTATTATTCATGCTCCCTAACTTAAATTCTTTCTTTAGCAATTAATTTACTAAAAATACGCTCTATTCATCGATATTCAAAGCATAAGATAATTCTACGTATTATCTTTTATAATTTTCAACGTACATGTACTCTTTCTTCACGATCGTCCTAAATAAATGACGACCTGTATCCTGTCTAACGGCGCACCCTCGCAATTCTTCGAAATGGTTCTATCATATATATCGCCCATATATCGAACTAACCCATTAAAAATGTTACATCATCCCTAGATACGATGCTCGCCGATAAATTGACGCGATATATCGTAGGGTGGGGTCCGGGCCTTTTGTTGCAAAATTGCAGCGCATTCGAAAAGAATTGATACACGAGAGACGGAAATAAGGGGATCGGTTCAACTTCTATATCGCGTGACTTTGTAAGTGCAAGCGATTAAAAAATTCGAAACGGAGGAACAGCTGTCACGACCAATACTTTTACTATATAAAAGAAATTGCACTGTCTGCGTCATTTAGATATTAATAATTTATATGAAATTATCTGAAATTATAATTATATAATTCTTCGATGGGGATTTTGATAGAGAGATCGAAATACGAAGCGACGATGTAAATACTATACGCTTCTAGGATTACTTCAAAACTTTCGGAATAATAAATTATCTCGAAGACAATGCGATCTTAATTACATCGTTGCACACAAGCAGTCTAATTGTATCTCTCTCTCCCAGCGCGTATCTGCTTTCACAAACTTTCGGGTTGTATAACGATTGCACACATTACCACGAGAGTAACAACAAATAATTAAGCCAAATGATACATTATTTGCAAAAAAATTCTATCTTGTATCTAAACTAATAAATAAAAATTTATAAGTTAAACGAACGTTCGTATTTTACATTTATAATGTAACTTTTTCTATATTACACTTTTATACACGTCTTAGATACATTTTATTTACATTTAAATATATTTATAAACAATTAATAATCAAATATCAAATTATCTAACAGTATATTTTTAGTTTAATAACAGTTTAGCATCAATTTATTTATCTGTTGATAATGTATCAAAAATTTGATACAACAGGGTATTGTATTTGTAGCAAAATAAGTTTAACAAATTTGCATTGTATTTCATATCCTAGGTCTACGAAGTAATCGACTGAGGGTTGGTTATCGACGATATTTTTAGACAGAATCCGCAAGTCGATACGTGGGCGTAACCAATTCACTTGTCGCTTAATTAAGCAAGTAACGTTAACAACGGAGCGAACTCAATTGATGATCGTTACGCATAAATTGCCCAACACTTCCGCGTTACGTCAATAAGTTATTGATGCCGAACGAGTTTTTTTAGAATTTAATCTAGTCTAACGATCGTGTGATATATTTGATCTTTCCGCCTCTATTATATTCCCGAATCTTTCTTCATATACAAACAACCTACTTCAAAGATATATTATTTTTGATTTATAATATTTACAATACAATGTAATTCTTTTAATTACCGTTTAATTACTTTCATTCAAGTGTACAAATTTCTGCTTATATTTTTACTTTTTAGACTTCTCGTAAGTTGACTTTATCTATCTTATCTTATTCAATCGAGCGAGTACGCCAACGGTATATCAGATTTAAAACCAATTTTTCACCACGATGACGAGAATGGATTTGAAAGTCAATCGCGTTGGACGGAGCGATTTCCCTGCGGAAAACCGACCGGCATTTTCCTCGAGAGATGCAATGCGGCGTCTCTATAATTCTGATACGCGAATCGAAGATATTCGGCGCACGGGAAACTCAGGAGGCGCGAGGAATTTCGTGGATTCTCAGAAGGCTACCGTTAGCTACGCTTCGAAGCCGGCGGATCGTTATTAATGAAAGAACAGGATGAGCTCTTCGGGCGCACCTTCCAGTAACGTCATCATGCCACCTTGAATGGCTTATGTAACGAGTGCCACCGTGCCGTAGACAATACGTGCGTTACGTGACGCGTGTGCGAGCGTGCACATCGTCTCGATTCCTCGCCATTTTTCTAAATCGGAACGCGTCCTTGTGTGTCGAGGATTCCGTCGAATTCTATGCGGCCTCTATACGACTCGAGTAGAGGCAATTTATCATTTCGCTGGAAATCAATGACACGTAAGTTGAGTGGAAACGCGAAACTTTGTTCAATTCAATTCACTTGTAATATTACATTACTATTTCAATACACGTACATTAAAAAAATTCTTTTTAAAGATTTTTATATCTTCTTTAATGGTCCTTCCTTTTAAATATTTTGTTTTGAATACAGTCAGATACGAAAATTAAATGTTTAATTGGAACTACGCTCCAATTCGCTCGCGATGGAAGGAATCCTGTAATTTTGTCGATTTTTAATAAACGATTCGTCACGATAGCGCTGTTATTGTGGAAAGTATGGTGGTCTTACCCATTTCTTGCCTCGCACTCTGTTCCGAATGCCCGTTTACGCGCATCGTCGACTCCGAACTTTCCTTTTCATACTTGTGTAGCACCTTAATGGAGGAATCGCGTCTGCAAAAAGAAAAACAGTAATATTGTTGTGTTGCGCACTTGCTTTGCGCACGCATCGCATCGCATCGCAACGAAATATCGCATGCGCCACTTCTAATCGCGTCTTCCTATTAATTGTTTCCGTAATTACCGGAACAGCGCTCGCCATTGTGCGAAATCATTGTTCGAAGACAATGGTCTTAAGTAGGAATACCACCGGAGAGATTACCGATGGCTGAAATTATCCAGCTTGGGAACGATTATTTTAAATTTCACTGTAATCCAGGAAATCAATCAAGTAAACTAAAGACTAAGCCAATAGTTAGATAACGATTACGTAGGTGGTATTTTGTATTTTATTCTACGCTTTAATGCGCTAAATCGTAAAATCATTGTAATGCTATAGAAAATGTAAATTTTAAAACAAAATAAAAAATAAAGATGATGAAAATCCTTTTATTTTCTTAATTTATATAATTTAATAACGTTGAAAATAGTATAATTAAAAATATGTTATTATATCAAATATATAATTAAAATTCTTACTTAATTTAAAAGAAAGCTACATAGATAAAATTCCTGTATTTTTGCATAAACTTTCAGAAATATTACACATATATACATATACAAATTTCAAACGTGTTCCTCTTCTTTGTAACGACTGTAATTCGAATAAATATAGATTTCTCTAGCAAAAGACTAACGGCGTGTTCGGCCTTTACGTAAGCAGCTGTGAACAACAAAATCCTGTAACTTTTAAACGCGCGCGTTTTTCCGCACCGCGTTTTTGCCCGCGAGCGTGAATTGCCGGCGATTTCGCTCGAAAGAAGGAACATCAACGTATAACGACCTTGGCCAATGAAAACGAATGGCGGTACATGATAGTATGTGTGCATAAAGAATCGTCAAGAGAATGTAGGACACGTTGCACCTTTCGTGTTTACAATCGCCGTAAGAAGAAAGTGCAGACAGCGGATTTTTATCTATAGGATGCCGCGAGTGCAAGAACGAGATTCATACCTTGTGGATGGATTCTGTTACGAGCATAATCACAAGAACAATAGCCTTTAATTATTTTATACGTAGTCCGAAGGAACGCAACGACAGACAGACTATGAAGTGCAATTATTCGATTCAAAGCAGCGTTTAAGGATGTATCATATCTATTCTTATTATTTTTATATGTACAATAAAAAAAGTGATAAAAGAGCTTATAAATTATTCTAAATCGCATTTAAAAATAATTTAAAAAAATTCAATGGCGGTTTAGAACCTGGATCAAAAAATTATTTAAATATAAAGTACTTTTGATCCAAGTTTTAAATCGTCGCAAAATTTTTTGTGTTACTTTTAAATGCGACCTAGGATAATCTAATTTTTTTCATCGTAAGTAAAAGCATTCGTAATACATTCTTAAAGATCATTAAAATAAAATAATGCCAGTCAAAATGGATTATAATACAATTCACGAATTCTCGATTATAAATTCTCGACCGCATAGAAGTACGTCCAAAGAATACGTCCTTGAATACATCTAAAATCTTTCTCTGATGCTTTACAGAATGGGAATATGAATACGCGGCAGATATAAATTTTTCGGCATCCTTTCGCACATCCTTTACCGCGTTCCGCTTTCGCACGATTTCTCAATCGCTCGAGACATGGTCTCATCTTGTCGTCGTCATCATTGTAACCGGCTCCATTTTTGCGTCTCACGGTATTCCGCTTTTGCGCGTTCGTTCGCGACTATCGATATCCACTTCGCTCGAGCAGGCTCGAACGAATGTATGTCGGAAACGCAAAGAGATCCGAAGTGCATTATCGCGAACTGGGACACGGTGAGTATATTACTCGGCGAATATGGCCAGGATACGTGCCAGACTCAGTGGTTTACAATCTCACTCCATACAGCCTGACGCCGGCAGTCGTCTCTTGAATCGAAGAAGACGCTGCGATCTCGACTCGGCAGATTATTTGTATAATGGCATAATCGCCGCAATCGCACTTATATATTTAGAGAGTAACAAGGTAGGATTGTTTTGATAGTTAATTTATTTTTGCATAACGCGAAAATTATAATATCTTTGCACCAAAAAATA